GCAAAATGCAATAAACTAGTCAGCATGAACCCTATCAATGTGAATATGATCTCTTGGGGTTACAAATGGCAGCTTGGATGTTTTTGATTCTTGGGAGTCCCCTTCCCCTTCTCAGATTGAACGTCCTTTCTTCTATGACCACAGGGTCTCCGTTTGCCCGGGCCAGCCTAAAGAGCGGGAAGACTGAAAGCTCCTCCTACTTCCGTCGGAAAGAGAAGATGTTCCGCTTTTTCATTCGGCGCATGGTGAAGGCTCAGAGCTTCTACTGGATTGTCCTCTGTGTGGTGGCCCTCAACACTATGTGTGTGGCCATTGTGCATTACGATCAACCAGAAGGTCTCACTACCACCCTTTGTAAGTAAGGTCTTCTTTGGCCAATTCTGCTTCAACACACCAGGTTGGAGATTCTCAATCCTGCCCAGGTCCTGGTCACGATTGTCCCAAAGGTGCTTTTTTTCCAAAGGCAACTGGATTTTCTTGGGTTTTTTTTTCCCCCTTGAACACGTTTCACTTCTCATCCAAGAACTGAAGAACTGGACTGAAGAGATGAGAAGTGAAAAGTTGTCAAGGGAAAAACAACACCCAAGTAAGTCTAGCTGCCTTTTGGAAAAACACCTTTTCCTTCAGCACCAATGATGGTGAACAGCACCAATGCCTGGATCTTTGCTGATCTTCCATTAACAGGAACTAGTGCTAGCTACAGTCCACAGCAGGACTTTCTCATTGCCCATATCTATGACTTGAATCAATGACCTGAAGGAAATTGGCTGATTGAGCTAAAGGTCTCCAAATCCATTCGGTGGTATGAGTAACAGAGTTGGAAGGACCTTGGAGGTCTTCTCATTCAACCCCCAGCTCAGGCAGATCCGATTACCATTCCAGACAAATGACTGCCCAATCTCCTCTTAAAAATCTACAGTGATGGAGCACCCACAACCTCCGGAGGCAACCCATCCCACAGGTTGATTGTTCTCACTGTCAGGAAATCTAGCTTGGTTCTCTCCTTGACTAGTTTTCATCCGTTTCTTGTCCTGCCTTCAGGTGCTTTGGAGAAGAGGTTCACCCATCTTCCCCCTAGGCAAACCAAGGAGAATGATAAAGCAACAGAGTTGGAAGGGACCTTGAAGGTCTTCCAGTCCAGCCCCCCTGCTCAAGCAGGAGACCCTATCCCATTTTAGACAAATGACTGTCCAATCTCCTCTTAAAAATCTCCAGTGATGGAGCATCCACGGTTCCTGGAGGCATCCCGTTCCTCTGGTTAATTGTATGGAAGCACGAAAGCTCCCCCTTTTAACTGAACTAGAAAATCTGGTTGGATTTATCCAATTTCCAGAATTGGGTTGACTAAACTATCCCTATCAAATCAAGAGCCCATCTGCCCACTCGGAGATACTCAGCCATTTCTTCTTAAGATACGAGTGGTTGCAACTGCCCTCATCACTGTAACTGGAGGCTTGCAAGTGCTGAGTAAACACCCCCAGGTATTTCTGCCCACACTGAGCAAAGTGGAAAAAGAATTTCCATGTTACCATTTGAAACTTAACAAGCGAGATGTAAGCTTGACCTCGTTTTGGGGGATGATTTAGAGCGAAATCAGAAGCTGGTTTTTCTGAGGTTTGCAAGTTCTTTGTTCTTTTCCATAAAGGAATATAATAAAGCAATAGGAGTTCAGAGAGCTGGATATTTTTCAGATTTAAAACTTTTCCTCCATGTAAGTTGGGGCTAATTGGCTAAAAGGGGCATTTGTCTTTTTTTCTTCTTCTTCTTCTTCTTCTTCTTCTTCTTCTTCTTCTTCTTCTTCTTCTTCTTCTTCTTCTTCTTCTTCTTCTTCTTCTTCTTCTTCTTCTTCTTCTTCTTCTTCTTCTTCTTCTTCTTCTTCTTCTTCTTCTTCTTCTTCTTCTTCTTCTTCTTCTTCTTCTTCTTCTTCTTCTCCTTCTCCTCCTCCTCCT